CCTCTTCCCAGATCCTCCCCCTCCCCCACCTCTTCCCAGATCCTCCCTCTCCCTTCACTGAGCAATTTTCTTGTCGTGTTGTAATTTCCGTCTAAATGACAGCCTCAAGATCAGTGACGAATCTTTCCGTTGTTTCCTGAGCTCTCCTTCCCAACAGTACTTAGACACCTGGTAAGCAAGAGGGCTCAGCTGACGCTTGCCGAGTGACCGACTGAATGAAAGATGGCTGTACCTTCAGCTGCAATTCCTTGTATCGCTTGGACATCCGAATGAGTAACTTCTCACCATTGATCACAGCAGACTTTTCTTGGTAGTACTGGACCATAGCCTGGGCAGCTTCAGTGTAAGCCATCTCTAAAAACGCCTAGGGCGGATAGTAAGACAGACAGTGGGCTTGACTTTAATGACCTCAAACACCAGTCAGTACCAGGTGGGAGTCCATGTTGAGGAAGCTTAAGAGCAGGTGGTATAATCAATGGACACAAGCTGGAGTTGCAGGTCCTTCTAGAGCGGCTGGGAGCCGACGGGAAAACCTCATCTTCTGGAAATGCCCTTTATCTTGGACCAGCTGCTAATTACATGGGTTACATATGTAAAAAAATTAATGGAGCTATACAATGAAGACAAGTATACATTATGCTCTTGGGAGTATCTGCTTTATAGCTCAATAAAAGGAAAAAATCAGCACAAGAAAGAATTCTCTTTGATTCCATGTGTTCAAAGAGAACTTTGTATTAACTTCACCAAAAGAGCTCATTACAGGATGGCTCCCATCCTAGTTTCCATGGTTACCAAACACTATTCTTAATTATGTATGTGCATCCTGAGTTACATCATCCTATGGAAGGCCTTCTGGGATGGAGGGCCTATTAACTCACAGTTCCCATGTGGGCTCTTGTGCACGTGGCCTTGGGCTGCCATTTGGTGATGGTAACATCAGGAGACTAAAGCAGAAGCCCAGGGGACTACTTGAGCTCCCATTTGTCTCATTAAAAAGAAATTTATTTGAAAACTCAGAGGCTTATAAGCCCCTAGGTTCAAAGGATGGCCAGGCCGTGGTGGCTTGGAGAGAAGAAGCCCCAGACCACACTGACATGGCATCTCCCCTCTCTGTCTCACTGTTCTGATCAACACAGAGAAATGGGCTTTTCTGTCACTCCGTGTCTGAAGTTTCTAATAAACTGTGTTAATGGACTTGTCTGTTTACCCAGCAGCTGTTGGTACAAATCAGTGGCTGTTAGAGTTTTATATTTGGTTTATGGTGGTATGGACTGATGCTGGTCCCTCTATGTTGAGCTTTATAAAAGAGCAAAAACACTCTAATCCATCAGTTTATATTTAGGGGACAATAGCTTTCCTCTGTCAGTGAGCAACTCATACCAAAGTGACCTTCTTCATTTACAGAGGCCTACTTTGCCGGTGACTAAGGAGCTCTTGTTAGGAGCCCCTAGTCCGCCCCCTTCCCCTCCCCCTTTCCATCGCCTCCCCCTCCTCTTTCTCTACTAGTTAATTTCAGCTGTTTCTTTTTAAACCACGGTACTGCGAAGCATGTGTGACAAAGAGGGCTGAATCCCTTAGGGTTTTATTTCGAATGCTGCCACCCACTTTTCTAAGGTCTCTCGCTTGACCCAAACACTAAGCACGTCTAGCTGTCAGTTCTCAAATGGGGCAAATACTAATTAATCTAGGAAGCCTTGGTGCCTTAATGTTAAATTTACCCAACTCTGTACATTTACCCAACATAGAACTCCTGAGATGAACACACAACGAAACCCTCTCTCCAGGCTGAGCAATGGAGACCGCTGCCTCTCTGCGGTGGCTTTAAGTCCTAGAGCGACACCTACACTGTACCTATTCTTTAGTCCTAGAGCTCACACCTACACTGTACCTATTCTTTAGCTCTGCAAAGCAAAAACAGCGACCGAAGTAAAAGCCAAGGGGCTGGGGAGGGGCTCAGTGAGGAAGGTGCTTGCTGCAGAAGCATCAGGACTTGTTTGGACCCCAGCACCCGTGTGGATGGGCAGAGACCAAGAGGATTGCGGGAGCTCACTGGCTGCTTCCCTAACTCCAGGTGCAGTGAGGGAACCTGTTTTAAAAATATATATATGGCTGAGAGTCATAGGCCGGACACTCAACATCTTCTCCTGGTGTTCTGATAGAGGCCTCCTGAGTTCAGTTCCCCTGTGCTTTCTATCAGTTCCTCTCTGCTCTCCTGCTAGGTGACCTCACATATGGACACCAAGAACAATTTAAAATGTCTCTTGCCTGGCAGTTCTTGTCTGGGTCCACACCCAGGCAATCAGAAGTGATCATTTTAGAAACTGGGGCTGTAGTCTTAGCTCAGGAGATCCACAACACAGCGAAGATAGACGATCAGTAGTCTGTCAGCTCCTATTTGAAGGCCAATTGGCTTTTCCATGTAAAGGAGGCCCCATACTAAAGTGGCACCTTCCCTTCTAGGCAATCCAGCACAAGCAGGCATTGAGAACCAGAGGAGGCAAAAGGAGAGCCCAGCAAAAACCTCTGTGCCCCGTCGGAGCGGCCAACTGTGCTTCACCTCTTTACATTAAAAATGTCTACAGTCTCCTTTGGCCACCCTGTGGCTCATCATATATCCCCCAGAGTGAACGTATGGAGGCCTACCTGGTTAGTTGACTTCATGAGGATGTAATTAGTGACCTTGCCAAAGGGCAGCCCCAGGTTAATGACGTCATTCTCAGTGCAGCTGCCCTCCGGGAGATTGCAGATGTGCACCACTCGCCCGGCACCGTTCCTCTGTGCAAACTGCTGGCGACAAGAGCAGGGCTGAGTCTTCAAAAAACATCTCTCTCTACCCCTGTCCAGACATCCCAAATGGCCATCTTCCCCTAGAGAATGCCATTTATAAAGACCAGTGCAGGAAAGAAACACACTCACAGATACACACAAATGCCAACTTTATGCCTTCTAGCTACAAAAGGGATTCAATTTCCAATGAATAGTAATATAAAAGACTGAAGAATATCTAAAGAAATGTCCATATACTGTTATACTGTTAGTGGGATTGTATGTTGACACCTTTGAAGATATGTTTTCTCAATATTAAATTATATATATAATTTAATATTATATATATAAAATTATATATATAAAAGAGCCCACTTTTGGAAGAGTGCCTGATCTAAAATTAATTAAATTAATTAAAAGGCACATGTGTACAAGACATTTACTGAATACTTTGTGGGGTAGCAAAATGTTTTGGGAACAGCCTGCTTATCCAACAGTTGGGGAACGCCTAGGCAAATGACAGTTGAAGTGTATAATGGAAAACTCCATAGGCATTAAAAGGAAGCCAATGTGCTAATATGGAATTTTTTCAGGCAAATTGTCAGGTGAAAAACAGGTTGCAAATCAGCATGCATACTATAATGCTTTTGAAAGGCAAAATTATATGGAAATGGGAGAAAACAAGTACTACAAAATTCTTGATAATTCTTGGAGGTGAGTGACAGGAACCTAAGAGTTAATTATCCTCACTTCTACAATTTTGAATGTTTGAATTTTGTGGTTTGTTTGCAGTGAAATTTTGAAAAGGTTATCAGCAAACACAGAGAAAGGCGTGGAGCGAGTATCAACCTGTCAAGGCCGGCTACCCTCAGAGAAGCAGGGCAGGACAGGGAGCCAGGACGGACACGTTTAACCTGTTTGAGATAGTCCTTATATTGTTCAACTTATAATTTTAAAAAATTCCATTACATGAAAAAGTTGACAGGAAGGTTTTTGGAAACCGAATATGGGTACACAGATATTCACAGCACCAATGTGTGGTTTATGGCAATGGTTTTTCCAAACAGTTTTCAGCCTTGGGGATCCTTTCTTCAAACAAAAACCTGCTCAGCAGCCAGGTACTCTCAGCAAATGAAAAAGGAGCTGTTCTGGTCAGACTTCGAGGTTCTAAACCTGCCTCCATCCCCACTAGGTAGATCCGAGCCAGATCTAAGGGACACAGTTGTCAAGCAGGACCTGTGTCTATTTCCGGCTCCTGGAGGACATATATGGATTCACTTTGGTCAACGTTCAATCAGTCCTAACTTCCAGGAGCTCAGGAATCAGGAAGCAGATACCAACCCAGTGTGGGAGGGAAGGGCGTAGTCTTCAAAGCCCAGAAGACTTTCTAGTGCCACGACGTACATGAGCCATCATCACTTCCCCCGTAGGGTGAATGTCAGGGTCTAATTATGGTCTGACTCTGCTGAGGTAACAGAAAGGGAGGATCTCAGGCCTCATCCCTAACAAGGGCTGGTACTTAGGGAAACACTACCATGAAAAGCCCTCATTTGTCTCACCTGGGCTGAGGACAATTAGACTCAATTATCATTTCCTTTTACAGTTCCACCTTGAATTAGAGAAGCTTCAGGTGCTCTTCTATACTCCACCCTCCACTGGTGTCCAGATGCCAAGCACTTTCCCAAAGGGGAACACTGATTCAGCATGTGGCTCAGAGGAGCCCCTACTTCCCCTCAGGAGGACACCCCCCTCCCCCGCCCAGAGTCTGAGCCTGGGTAGCAAGGACTGAGCCCCTCTGTAATGAGGACAAATGGAGAGCTATCATGGCCAGGGCTGGGACCTCCCACTGGAGTGATCTGGGGTAGATCCAGCAGAACTCCCAAGCAGAGCAAAGCCTCTAGTTCTCTGACTTTACACCAGGAATGTTAAGTCTGGGCACTCTGGTGGGCTCTTAGCAACGCAGTTTCCACCCCTATGCGTGTGACCTTGCTGCAGCCAGCCAGAGTGACGTGTGCTTGGACAACACAGCAGCCAGACATGCAGGGTGATTCTGGGCAATCGCTCTCCCAGCCTGTCCAGGTGCCTAGTGACCAGGCCCAGGAACCAGCATCCCCGAATTGTGTACTCACTCCGGCCTGAAAGGACAATTTAAGAGGCCTTTATCTGGGCCCAGCAGAATACACAGGCCACTCATCCCAGAGAACAACCTCCCAAACTGCCATTCACCGAAGACCTATTCATGCTACAGAGTTCCACATCAAAGGCACTGAGATAAATTCATCTCACACTTCTCACTCACATTTTGAAGATTCGATCCTTGACTCTCCCCACACTCTAGTCAGAGATAGAAGCGGACTTTCCCTGATTCTATAGATGCTATTAGTATTCTAGTTAATCATCTCAAGTTGGAGCTTCCCGGCCAGTGAACTACACACAGGTTTTAGATGTACTGAGATACTGATTTTCTCAACTTGGGGGCTATAGACCTCCAATGGCAAATCCCTCACTTAATCATTTTCTAAGTGAGCCATGAAAGGAAAATCTTGAGAAGTGCCATATTCATGGTTTGTTCTGGCTTGTCTGGTTTCAGGTGTGATAAACCCTATACTATTAGAAAGATAAATTGTTTATATGAATGAAATTATTTTGCTGATATTTAGAAAACTTCAGCCTACATTCTTTACTATCTCTTCTGTAGATATGAAATGCAATTTAGACTCAAGCCATGCTTGATTCATAAAAAAGTGAAGTTATAGGTATTATTGCTCTATTCTTGAAACAACTTATATACACGTGTCTATGATTTGTCCTATTCCCTATGAAAGATCCTAATGAGAAGAGAGAGGGAGGGCCAGAGAGAGGGAGGAGGGAGACAGAGGGAAGTCCCTGGGTGGTACATCCAGAACGAAGTTTCATCCCTGAGGACTCTGACAACTCCAAGAGCTGTTGATCAAGCAGCGAAGGCTATGTGGTAATCCCAGCTTGGGTCTGCTAATTAGCCCTAAATGGTCTTTAGGGTTAATGATACAATAGCCTTTCCCTTACCTGTAGGGAATACCTTCCAAGACACTGAGTGAATTTCCAAAGGACAAAAGTACCAAATCCTGTATATACTAGTTTTTCCTACACCTACATACTATGATCAGGTACAGTTTATAAACTGGGCATAATAAAAGATTAATAACATCTACTTATAAACCAGAACAATTATGACAATATATCATAATAAAACTTACTTAAGACTTACAAATAAACTTATGAATTGTTTCTGGAATCTTCCATTTAATATTCTCAGACTTCAGTTGACCTTGGGTGGCAGAAACTGCACAAAGTTAAACCAAGGATTGGGAGGACTACTGAATTATGGTGATGGGTGCTAAACAATGCCTTTGACATTCCAACAGCTGAGGTGATATCATGCTCCACTCTACGGATAGGGTGTCAGACTAGATACGGCTTAAGAATGCCTCCATACTTCAAGCTCTTGGACAACACTGCAATCTAACTCAGCAGGTAACATAACTGAACACCTAACTTAGGAGCCAACTGCTGGGTCTCATCCAGTCATAGGCAACTAACTCATCAGCCGACGTTCAAATATGGCACACAGCAGCGCCCTGTGCAATTGCCTTTGTCTCCCTTCCTTCCCTGTCCTGCTTGCTAGGCTGTGGGGTGCCGCTCTCCACAGGTACTAGGGGATGGTACTAGGGGATGCATGGATCATTCTTTGGTCAGTTGAGCCCTGTGAGACTTAACTCATCCAAGCTTTTCTTTTAATATTACGCAGAATCGTCAGAAAGTCTGACTGACATTTCTGTGTCTTTGAGTAGCAAAAAGGGATAACTAGGTAACTCATTAACTTTGACGGATAAAAATATTTCCAAACACGGAACGCACGTCGGTACTTGAGGTAGAAGTAAGCGGGTGGGTAATGGCTTAGAGGTTAAAATCTGGAGGCGTCCTGACGATTGAGAACCTGAGTGTAAGAGACAGAGGACCTGGGTTCAAGTCTCAACCCAGCTACTGATTAGGAGTGTAACCCATTTCTTTTTATAGTCATTAGTTTCCCAATACCTGGAACAAGGGAGGTGGCTATATGTCTAAAGTCCTTTCCAAATGTAAAATTACTCTGCCTTCTATCTCCAAGCTTGAAAGCTCTAGTCCTCCTGAAGACTTTGCCAAGCCCTAAAGTGCAGGACGTCCCATGACAGCACAAACAGGAAACCCGGCTCCTCCCACCCCAGCATGGCCAGTGTACCAGTGAATGTACCATTGTGCCCCCTCCTCGTGACCAGCTGCTCAGCTACTCGTGTCCACGAGCCTGATCACCTTCCGGGATGGTGCTGGTGATTTTAGCCGTATGGTATTGCAGACACGCTCCTGGGGCCAGCACCCTGTTTATCAGCTGCCCTGCTCTAGAAGTGATCACATCCACGGCGCCAGATACGCTGAGATGCACTGAAGACACACGGATCTGGGCTCTCTCTAGGGGACATTCCTATGTCTAGTGCATGCTTTACTGACTCCGGGAAGCAGGGGCAGGCTAGAGGGAGGGGGGCTGACTGTTAACTGCATCCCTGTATTTACTGTGAGCCAGTTACCGGATTTTTCTAGCCCCAGGTTTGCATGTCCATAAATCCAGGAGAATAAAATCGATTCCACAGGCTGATTGAGAAGATGAAATGCCATAAGTCAGGTGCTTCCGTATAATGTCTGACCTCCAGCAGGCTCCTAAATAAACATCTGTCCCCTTGCTTCCCTCTGCTATGGAAGGGGATGCTATGATGATCTTGGATTGGGGAAGAATATTGCTGGAATGATGTGAGGGAATATCCATATTCTTAGGAAATCAAAATGAACAGTGTTTTCAAGCTATTCTTAAATAGGGATTCAGGGAGGAAAATGCCTAGCTGACTAACAGACAGACAGACAGAAAAGGATGAAGTAAACGACAGGAGAGAAAGGAACAGTGAATCCTGGCAAGAGTCACACTGGAGTCCCTCATGTCTTTTTTTTTTTTT